TTAGAGAGCACATTTTACACCGTAAGGATATTTCTATCAATGCTCCAAGAACTTATACAGAATTGATTTATTCTGATGTATTCTAGTAGCTTTTTTTATTAGTACCATGGAGAAAGCTCTCTTTTTTTCTTGTGCCAATGTTTCAAGATTGTCTAAATTGTGGTAATATGATTAAGAAAGGCAATATTAAGAAGTTAAACTCAAAAGGAAGGTTATGACACTTCTCTTTTGATACATACAAATAAAGATAAAACATGAGCATGATAAAATGATCTTTCAACCTTCTCCATGCTGCTTAAAACTACAACCAATTGAGAATAAGTAACCAAACCGCTAAATGTATTTATTAAAGTAAAATTGCTTAAGCCAAAGGTTAATTGAGCAGATAGACTTGGAGGTTTCTACCAGCAATTTTACCTGCACTTCCAGCCTAGAGGTGGGCACCTTATTCCCTGAACAGATTAATCTTAAAGGCAGTCTAGGTCGCTAAGCCTTCTAATTGTTCAGGGACTTATCGCTGTTGAATGGATCTGATTTATTCCAAGTTGAAGTCGTGCAGATTTCCTCAGGGACTGGGACTGATTGCAGTTCTAGCTGCCTTTGGTTTCTGTGACCTTGATGGCAGCGTATTAGCTCTGAGTCAGCTTAAATGGCCCAATCCATCAGCACCTGATTGCATCAAAGTAGTAAAAAGTCCACTTTACCTCGAGGCAGGTCAACGCTAAGTGTATTATGAACTCACCTGATGCCATTATACCACTGGACATAGAAGAAACAGGCGGAAAAATAAGGGAGCAATCAGCTGGATTGGCATGGATCATCATTTTCCGTTATATGGTATAGGCTGTAGATAAGTAAATGCTTTTCTAATGGTGCCTAAAAGGAGAATGATATGGTTAACGCTGCTGTTAACTGCCGGAGTAATCCTTAGAGGAAATCAACTTGCTTATCGCGACTTCAGATTTATAGTATTGGACAGGTTATATATTTTATGTAAGGTAACTTATTGTTTTTCCAAAGAAATACCATCTAAAACCTCTAAAGCCTATGTAGAATTCAAGCCTTGCTTTATGAGTCTTTCTTTGATTTGTAGTACTGTAGTTTTGTAATTTTTTTTTCTAGATGACTGACTCCAAATTTATGCCTGTGACTGGACTTTGTAGCTGAGATCTATAATTTAGAATTCAGTTCAGAATAATTTTTACATCTCATGGAAACATACAAAGTTGTAAAAAATCTGGGTAGTGAAGAGTAGAGTTATGAAATTTTAATGTCACCTGCCTGCTCTGAAAGCTTCTGAGACTGTCACAGTGTTCTGTAAACAATCAACTTTTGTTGTTTATCATACAAATGTACATGTAAGTTATGATGATTCCTAATTATGGTGTATTGAGATAAACACATTTGAGGGTTAGTATCATTTCCACATGTACATGTATCATTGAAAAGGATCACTCCAATATGATAAAATCTTAAGTATTCTAACATTGCTATAAAATTTCTTTTCTATAATCATGTAGTCAATTTATCATTTAGTTATCAGATACAGACAGAGCATGACAAGACTTTACAAACATCACGATTTGTTTGTTTGAAGTTAAAACTCTTGTTCCAACACAAAAAATTCTCTCACCTAAAGCCTTCGACCAGTCACTCTGGTCTTCCTCAGTAGACTGACCCAGTGAAGCTTGTCACATGGCTTCTTTGAAGTGTGACGTCAACACAAATCATGATTTGTTGTTTCTTTCAAACAAATTACACTATCATTTAATGAATAATAGTGTAATTATTTATTAAATAATAGTGTAATTTGTTTGAAAGAAATAACATAAATAATAGTGTAATTACTTATCAAATAATAGTGTAATTTGTTTGAAGAAACAACAAAACTTGCCACTCATATTTCAGTGTTAGAAATACCAATCTGCAGTCTGTATTTTGCAGAGACATTTTCAATGTTGCAGAAGAAAACTTAAGCAACCTGCAACTTTGCAGACTGAAAAAAAACAGGCTAGGGATTCAATTGTGTCTGTATAATATTGTTTAGGAGCTTTTTGGCTTACTACTGACTTAATGTATTAGTTATGCATGTGTTTTTCAAATTGCATGTAAAATGTTTGCCAACAAACGATTTTGTATGGGTTTGAGTCACGGCTTAAAGATGTGTATTTGCAGAAAGTACTACCATATTACAAAACAATACTGTGACATTCTGCTGTATTGAAAAAAAAGGGATTTCTACACTGCATTTGTAAAGTCTTGTCACGCTCTGTCTGTCTCCCGCTGCCCTGATTTGGGGTCAAGAACCTGTAAGCTGCTCATCTGACTGATAAGTAGGAAGTCTTGGGAAAGGAAATTGGTCCAATTACTTTCAGGGGAAATGTATTCTTCATCTTTTTTCAAGAACAGAAGCCAGAGAATTTGATCGATGTTTTTCACACCATGCTCTTAGATATGTACCTTGGAGGTTGAAGACAAGTTTTAGATCTGTTAAGTCTGAAGAAATGAGCATTTGATAGGCCAGTATTGTAGACAATTGAGATTGAAAGGAGCCAGTCTTTTGATTTATTGGTCAAACGTTACCCATGCAATATCAGCCTTTTATAGCACTGAATTATACAGGGTTTACAATCACATAATACCCATGATACATATAACATATTTGCTCCACACACTTTTGTGGAACTGTCGCAAGGGTCTGTGGGGCTGCCATTCGGCGCCACCAGGTGACCTCAATACGACTTTCCTTTTATAATAACTGAAATTAGGTACCCATTCACACCTGGGTGGAGTGAGGAAAGTCATGTTAAGTGCCTTCCCCAAGGGCACAACGTCGGGGCACATGTCCAGACATGTTCCGGGTGCAACTCTGGATCGAACCCGAGTCTCGCCATTTTATAGTCGAACGCTATACCACTACGCCACCTGAAGCCACAAACTGCAGACTGTTACAATGATGAGGACTGCAAATAAAGGCCTAGGAAAAAAAATGTTGTGTTTCCTTTTTCTCAACCGACCCTAGAAAAGCCTGCTGACCGACTTTTTTGGGGGGGTGGACCCCAGCATGGGACATATAATTTTTCGAGCTGATCAACCTTTACTAGCTTCATGATCTGAGACCTGAATGCTAAAACGTCATACAATTGGTTTTCTAACATTGACATTGAAAATAAAAGTGTCCTCATGCAAGTTTTACTTTGTTAAACTGTATTGTATTAGTTGGACCCTATGTAGATATCACTGAAGTAAAAAAAAAAGATAATCCCTACCTACCGACCCTAATTTTTTCAGGACTGAAACAGGAAACACAACATTTTTTTTTCCTCGGCCAAAGTAGCTAGGATTGCAGCCAGGAAATTATCATGTTGGCATACCGCCAGTAAAATGGTGATATTGTGTAGCAAATGGTTTACACTTTGCATTTAAGCCACAGGATTTAGCTGCTTGGGTATTGTTACAAATTACCTTAAAGTTGGCCGGGAGCTAGATAGATAATCGTCACAAAATCATGTTTCCCTGTGAATAATATTATGTCTCAGCAACATATTTCTACAAATTCAATTTTGGATTCATATTATGCCATCATAATTGAAATAGCAGTTTTCAGTGTATCTCATAACATTAGATATTGAAGGGGAAAATGACTTAAGCACCTTTAATATTAAGTACCTTACACATGACAGTAGGGGAAAACAGTAGATATGGTACATCCATATTAATTTTTTTTATATTAACAGTTTTGGAATGATAAATTACGTGAAACAATTAGTATCATCTCTGTATCATTTTTCCCTCATTATGTTTAGAACTAGAATGGTGGATCCTGAAAGCAAGAAAATTAATTGACTCAAAAATGAGTTCTACCGAGGGAGCTGATATGTAAATGTGTGTGTGTGTGTACAATATTAGAGGTGGGACTAAGTTTCCAGACCAGAGGGAATTTTCATCTCTCAATAGCATTCCTCCTCCATATCAGACTGGCTGAGACGTATGGCTAAACTTGCCAGTTTGAACTCTGTTTGCCTTCTATGTATTACTAAGATGTTATCACCACAATTGAATATGTTGGGCTAAAAAAATGTGATTCCTTTTTTAAAAATATTTTTGATCAAAAGCAAAGTATTTCAAAAAGGAAAACTGTGTACAGCGTCTGTTGTTGCTGTCTTTTTCAAAACTTGTGTGAAATATTTGATGGTCTTGGTTTATTCAATGTCTATCTTATTAAAAGGCAGGAATGCATTTGTTTATGCCATATCAACAATTCAAAGTAATTTTAAAGAAACTCTTAAACAGGGTATGGGTTGTTAATCTTTTCTATTGTACTAAACGTCCCTAGCTAGCTTAACAGCTTGAATGTGTTTTCTTATACCGTAACACTTACACGACATATGGCTTAACACTAAAAGGTGTGTGCCGTTTGTTTCCAAAATGTTGTTCCTGATGGTAAATGATGGCTCCCTACTCTCTCATTAGACACTGGCATATATCCAACAAATTTACAAAAGCTGCCATAACTTCTATGCAGTTCGACACAGAAGAAAAACACACATTGAAATTTACCGTTGCAGGTATAACTGGGCGACCGCAGTAACTGTGCATCATCCAATTGATCTCTAGACCTTTACTGTTATTGTGTGTCCCTCCTACACTGTCCATTGTGTCCAGGGTCAATATTGGTTGGCCTCTACACAACCTGGCTATTTTGAGATGGCCAGGCAGGAGAGCTGATTAGCTGGACCCTTTCAACCCAGTATTTTCCCCATCTACGATAACAAGCCAATCTCGTCATGTATCATGTTGTAAGGCCGCCGCCCATGCCTGTTAACCTTTGTATCTATTTTACAGCCGTTCTATTGATCTCGGAGCCCGGTGGTGACACGGGTGGCAGACATTTTTGGCACGCTGACTTGTCACAGTTATCCTTGGTTCCTTGATTCCTGTGGGTTTAAGTTATGAAAAGAACAGGGACTGAATTGTTTTGTTGTTTTTTGTTCTTCCAGGAATGGGCAGGCCAAGTGGAGATCAGTGCTTTGTCGTTGATGTACAAGTAAGTGTTGTTGAAACTCTTACTTCGTTTATATAATTAATGGTCCTTCGTATCTTAATCTGTAGTGATTCACTGTTTGATTAGTGTATTTATTATTGAAGCTACGGATGCGTGAGTGCATCTGTCATTGTAATGAAAGTCAGCCCTTTGTTTGCTTTCATGAAAGTCTTTTTAGCTAAAAGAAGGGAACAATTTGCCAAGCCTCTCTTTCTCTCGCACACTGTATAGGTTGATAATGTTTCATCTGATGATTAAGTTTGTTTGACAAAGTTAATTTTCACCTCTGGCTTAGACTGGATTGGAATGGATGGGTTTCTCCTCCAGATATTGACATTTTTGTTCTCCAATCTGTTTTTGTAACCTCTGAGCCATCAGGGAATGTAGCATAGGTGAAAGGAGCGGATTGATCTAATGGATGTTCTCGTAAAGTTGGCAGGATCTTCACATGTGTACACTGAGTCTTTGGCTGGTTAGATATTCATTATAAAACAGTCCTAGACTCTTACTGGCTTCTTTCCAGTGTATGTGTTGTTAATGCTGTGAAGTATTTTGTCCCAATTTTATCCCAACCAAGTGTGTTCCAATTCACCAACAATTCAGCACCAAGGACAGGTACCATGACATAACTTTTGTTTCAAAATTGGAGAATATAACTTTCTAATTTAGATCTTGTCTATGGTATGAAGTATCTTGTCCCAGTTTTATCCCAACCAAGTGTGTTACAATTCACCAACAATTCAGCACCAAGGACAGGTACCGTCACATAACTTTTATTTGAAAATTGGAGAATATGCAAAAAGAACAGGATTGTTACTCAAGAGAAATAGCTATATAAGTTAACTTGTTTTAGCACTTGTTTTGGCACCAAAAGAGAAGATTTGAAAATTGTCAGAGGACAATGAAATGGTTTAGACCATTACAGCAGCCCCACAGGTACTGTGACATAACTTTTGTGTGGAAATTAGAGAATATACGAAAAGAGTAGGATTGTTTACTCAAGAGAAATGGCTATATAGCTTGTTTTAGCACTTGTTTTGGTACCAAAAGAGAAGATTTGAAAATTGTCAGAGGACAACAAAATGGTTTGAAACATTACAGCAGCCCCCAAAGTGTCACCCTGTCAGGTAATCCTGTGCTGCAGTCTGTGGTTTTCCCCGTAAGGCAAGCCTAAGCACCCGTACATTAAGTACATTTGGCACACCTGTTTGTTTCTACCATTCCGCTGCCCAGATCCATTACCATCCATTATTCTGACAAGAAGATCCGGGGTCTTCTTGGGCTTGACAGTGTGTACAATACGGGGAGAAGAATTATTGGCAAACTGAATCGTAGACAATGCATCGCTTTCAAACGGAGGTACATGTATATAAGGGACAAAATCTTTTGACTGATGTTTCTGTAGAACAGACGATTTTGAGCAGTTTATGAGAAATTTTGGATCTAGGGTCTTCCTGGGCTTGTCAGTGTGTACAATGCGGAGAGAAGAATTATTGGCAAACTGAATCGTAGACAATGCATCGCTTTCAAACGGATGTACATGTATATAAGGGACAGAATCTGTTGATTGATGTTTCTGTAGAACAGAAGATTTTGAGCAGTTTATGAGCAATTTTGGAATTTTTGCGTGATGCTACTGAATCGTAGACAAACAATGCATTGCTTTCAAATGGAGGTACATGTATATTAGGGACAAAATCTTTTGACTGATGTTTCTGTAGAACAGACGATTTTGAGCAGTTTATGACAAATTTTGGATCCAGGGTCTTCCTGGGCTTGACAGTGTGTACAATACGGGGAGAAGAATTATTGGCAATCTGCCTCTTATGCTGGGTTTGTACTGAATCGTAGACAATGCATCGCTTTCGAACGGAGGTTGGGACAAAATCTGTTGACTGATGTCTCTGCAGAAGAGAAGATTTTGAGCAGTTTATGAGAAATTATGAGAATTTTTGTGTGATGCTACTGAATCGTAGACAATGCATCGCTTTCGAACGGAGGTTGGGACAAAATCTGTTGACTGATGTGTCTGCAGAACAGAAGATTTTGAGCAGTTTATGAGAAATTTTGGAATTTTTGTATGATAGATGACTTGAAAATACTGGAATGTGCTTTGCAGAAGAGTGAAGTAAAGATGTGACCGTGTGGGTGGTAGATACCCGGTGACTGTTTGATAGTACTCGATAACTTGTGATCGTTTGCAGCTCCACTTCGGCGTAAATTGAACCATAAATATCGACTGTTCAGTGTCGAGGAGTCGGGTTGTGACTATATTACCTGCCTCATCTGACACATTATACTGATTCCAGATGAGTAAAATTACAGGGAGTCCTCCTGCGAGTGTCGCGTGTTATTAGGCAAACGCAGCAGGTGTTTAACCACATTCCTCCATTCCTCTTCATCACTTTCCCCGAGAAATCCCCAGACCCATCTTGTCTCGTGGCAGCCCCGTGGTCACGAAATGAAGAACAGAAACAGGGGGGACGTACGTAGATGGGCCCTCGTTAATCTGGTGGTTTGTGGGACCGTATTTTACGGGCGCTTCCGTAAGAGCGTGCACATTTGCCGACTTAAATGTAGCACCTGTGTGGTCGGATTAGGCAATTTAGCAAGTGAAAGATGGCTCCCGGGGGAGTGCTTACAGGTGGGCCTGCGCCGTAATTGGTTGGCTTTGTTACGGATTAAAGTGGGCTGGGCAGAGGGCCGGTTAGGAGGGAGCCTGCCGTGTGGCACCCTGCGGGTCATGTGATATTATAACAGTCCCCGCGACATGACACCGTGATACATGGTTAGGTTCACTCCCCCTCGGTTGGTAACATTTTTCAGGTGAGAGATGAATCGTTTGATACTGGTAACGTTACCCATTCTCCAGCCATCTTTTCATTTATTCTTTTCAGTTATCTGTGCAACCGCATTACACATTCATGTGGCATTGATTATGCGCTTCGGTTACGGTATGGAGCAGTATACGGATGATGAGTCATTTGATGAATGTGTCACCACTCCGTCAATACTGTAAGGGAGAGATAGATAGATTGTGTGTGGTTCTTACCTGTAGCAGGAGTGGTTTGCTCCGCGTCGTGTCATGACTGGTGGTGTTTATGTGTGATGCAGGTGTGACTTCATCATCTACCAGGACGTGGGCAGACCTCCAGCCAGAGTGACAGAGAATGGCTTCAAAGATAAGGTAAGCATCGTCATGGGGAGGGCTGATAAAGGTGACGGGAGGGAAGACAGCTGGGAACGACAATGGGATGAAATTAAGGAAAGGTGAAGATTTAGAGCACAGTAGGTGGAAAGGAAAGGTGGAGATGTGAACAGTGTTAGAAAGACCCATCTGCCGTCTGCATTTTGCAGAGACATTTTCAGTACAAGAGAACAAAAATTAAGCAGCCTGCAATTTTGCAGACTGAAAAATTTGAAAGGAAAGGCGAAGATTTCAAGATAGAACACAATGGGTGGAAAGGAAAGGTGGAGGTGTGAAGGTAGACAGATTTTGCAGTATGTAAATACCCGGTAGGTTAATGTGACTCATAAAAACCTGCAATTTGCCACTGAGGGATTTTAAGTAACCATTTTTTTTTACAATAAAAGTCGGGAGCTTAAAGACAGCTGGGAACACAATGGGCCGAAAGGTGGAGATGTAAGGGTCTACCCAGAAATTCTTAGGGCAGAGGTGCTCCCTATAAGGTTGATGAAAAATCAACAAATTTTCATGAAAAAACTAAGAGAAAAACCTTAAATTTACACATTTTGGGAGAGGTGCTAGGATTTTGGGGAGAGGGGGAGCACCCTTATTTCATTGCTTGTGGAGAGCACTGATAAAGGTAGAAGGGTTTTGGGTACAGCAAGGTGCAGTATGCAAATAGGTTAAAAGCGTAACATGACTCATAAAAGCCTACAATTTGCCACTGAGTGATTTTAAGTAACCATTTCTTTTACAAGACAAGTTTTAGAGATAATCTGCTGAGCCAGACTCATTTTTAGCACTGGCTAACCTCTTTATTAAGTGCTGTTTTTCCAGCACTTCATCTTCTAGTCCCTATCAGGATCACTATCCTATATAATTATAATGGAGTTCTGACTATAATGTAAATATATGAAACTTGGGATAGGACTTAAAATGTATTGATAGGTAAGTGCAGTATAAGCGTAGTGGGTTCATCTTTATGAGTCCGATATTAGTGTTGGAATCATGAAACAAATAAGCAGATTGAAAAAGGAAGAGATTGAAAACTGTAAACCCGGGCTCCGCATATATAACGGGTTGAGTCATATAACAGTATGATGGCATGGGTGGTAAAAAGAGGAATTATGCCTGTAATGGAAACCAGAGTAAAAGTGGTGAAAATTACACGATAACTGCTGCAAATAGCCGAGCAAGAATTGCCACCAGATAGGTAAATTAACTCCCAGGCGGTGATCCACATAATAGGTTCTCGGGTACGATGTTAATCTTCACTTGTAGGAGATTAGAATCAAGCTCATTTGTTACAAGTGTCTCCCAGTGCTTATGGTGGGTTAGGCCACACCAATTTAATTTCTTGGTTAACGGATTTTCTAGAAAAATAATGGAGCGGGCGGGCGAAAAAAATAAAAACAGGCCTAGGCATCCTATTATGGCCCAAAATGGTACGATAGGAGCCATGAAGTCAACACACCAGGCTGGTTCAAAATTTAAACAATGAATTTTGAACTTGTAATGATACCATTGCATTGAAAGATAGAATAACTGTAACAATTAGGATGTAAAGGACTGTTCTCAATTGTTCAGGGCAAAATATGAGCATTTTGCCGTTGATTCTGATTTTTTTATTTTTATTTGCAAATCAGAAAAAAATGAAGTGGCGAATCCGTTAACCAAGAAATTAAATTGGTGTGGCCTTATGGTGGGTTTAGGCCTGGGAAAAAACATGTTGTGTTTCCTGTCTCCCGACCGACCCTAGAAAAAACTGCTGACCCTGGCATTTTTTTGGGTGGACCCATGCAAGCTAAGAGACATAAATTTGTCATTTTTAGCTCCATGATCTGACACACGAGTGGTGAAACCTTGTACAATCAGTTTTTCAGCATTGACATTGAAAATAATTATGCTTAATGAGTCCTCATGCAAGTTTTACTTTGAATTCTCTGACTGTAATCTGTATAAATTCAGTCATTGGAGGTTGCCAAAGTTTAATAAAAAAATACCATCCCTACCTACCTACCCTAATTTTTCAGGACTGAAACAGGAAACACAACATTTTTTTCCTAGGCCTCAGAAGTGTCTCTCGGTGCTTATGCTGGGTTACTTGTGGGGTGATGAGATACCTGAGGGAGTTGACTCTAATTCCATAATGAGAACAAATGGACAACGCCAGCCAGTAATCATAGCAGAGATTGTCATCAGGGCCAACCTTTCCAAAACCCGACAGTATCATTACTTCGCGCGGCGACCTTTTGAACTTTTCTTATCGCAAAGATTCACCTGAAGGTATGTTCTTGCGCATCTGTCATCCAGCTGTATTATATTAGATATCATATTTTGTATCCCCCGTAGCATCTGATATACTGTATCGACCGGATTAGGAGCTGTGCTATTAGCTAAGATTTGGTTTCAATCTCAAGGGGAAGTAATGGACCCAGGGTAAGGTAAGGTGTTAGTATACAGGGCTCGAAATTCAGTTTTGGGAATAAGTGCACAGGTGCAGTGCACCACATAAGATAAAATAGGTAGAATGTCAGCAAAAACTTATTATGTTTCAGTTCTAAAGAAAAGTACTAGATAAGTATATTATAACAATGATTTTATAATTTTTCTGACACTTAGATGTTTTAACATCTTTACATATCTAAACCTATGAAAAAAATTGGGTGCACAGCTCCAAATTTGAGTGCACTAAGGTGCACATGCACTCAGTGTTTCCAGCCCTGGTATATGTAGGTGGTGGGCAGATTATGTAAGGCAATATGATATCAATTTTTTGCATGACATCCTCAGAAACCTGAAATTTGATGTGAGTTGAAAAAAAAAAGCCATCAATTCAGCTCCCATCATGGCTGTTTTACGATGTGGCCATTTGTCTGGGCACATAAATTTTCAATGACTCATACATTTTAGTAGGACTCCCAGGAAATTCTAGATTTTTACAGTAAATGTTCCTGGTATACAAGCACTGCTTTTCTTTAGAAGAGAAAAACTACATTTACATTTTTGGAGAAATATGTCCAGTGGTAGAAATGCTTTTTTTCATTGTTCTGCAATATTGCAAAATGTCAATATTTTGTTTTGCAGTTAAGAAATACTTTTTGTAAATAAAAAGTCTGGACCTACATTTGTAAACGCTTGGCATATGCAAAATTGCACGTTTGCTAACATTTTATATGAAATTGAAGAACACATGCAAAATTACTAGAGTCATAGTATACAGAGTAACCACAAATTTTAAGCTCTTCAACTTACAATATTATGCCATCACCATTGAATCCCTAGCCTGATTTTTTTCAGTTTGCAAAATTGTAGGTTGCTTAATATTTCTTCTGCAATATTAAAAATGTCTCTGTAAAATGCAGACTGCGGGTGGGTATTTTTAACAGTAACACTGAGATGTCCAAATCAATGTGCCAGTGGGTGCCATCCGTAAAATCATGTTTGTGTGGCTGATGTAGATAGTGGCAGAGGAGTTATGGTGATGGATGAAAATGTCTTGCACGGAATCATGGGCCCTTTCCCTGATACACAACATTAGCTCCCTCCAAAGGACTGACATGAGGAAGATGAAGGGGATAGCGTCAGGTGTGATGTTTCGGTAGATTTCATGGCTTCAAGAAGGGTTTGGAGAAGGCAGCTAAGTATAGAATACAACACGGTATATTGACGTGTGTCACCCAAAGTATACGTTCCAGGCTGAGCCTAAAGTCCAAAGGGCTGACATACATGTAAGGAAGATGAAGGAATAATGTCACTGGTGTGGTGTTTCGGGAGATTTCATGGCTTCAAGAAGAGTTTGGTGAAGGCACCTAAGTATAGAATACAACACGGTGTATTGACGTGTATCACCCAAGGTACCAGCCCGTATTGAACTGAAATTGTTATCGCGGCCCAGGTATGACATAAATAGCGGTACATGTCCTTTGCCCTAGTAGGGAGTCAGTAACATGTAATAAGAAGATCAAACATGCACAGTCTGGGGAGTCTTCTAAGCTGTTAAGGCTATAGAAGATTAGCAAGAAAGATTCTTGCCTAGAAAAAGGTCAAATTGGACAGCCTAAGGATGCATATGAGACCCTGGAGTTCTTTTTTTTTTAAAGCTATTTTATTCCCTGAAAATGTTCTTGGATATTGCTGTCTACAACTTTGCACTCGTGTATTGGTTACCATAATTGTCTTTTTTGTCTGAAAAAGAACTGATACATGATTTATCTTAAGACTGAAACATAATCATATGTGATACTAGATATCTTCAAACAATGTTTAGAGTTAGATGTTCAAGAGTTAGGTGTGACAAGTCGTTCGGTGTAATGTAGCCAGCTGCCGCCACGCCGCGTGCCTTCGTAAGCTGGTGTGTTACGCTGAAGGGTGGTTTTACTGGATATACCGATACAGATACAGATAGGAACACAATTGGGGGTGGTAATTACTTTCTAATAGATAAATGTCTCGGAAAAGCAGACCCTGAACTTATCACCATTGTTTCTGTTTCAGGTTGTGCTATGCTTCTCCCACGGCAATCACTACGACAGTGTGTATCCCAAACAGTTTCAGATAGATGCTGCTATGTGCCAATGTAAGTGCCTCCACATTTATTCTTTTCAACAAATATCAAGATAAATCCGGATATAGGGGTTTTCTTTCACACAGTCAACCAATATTGTCTCTTACCAGGGTTATGTTTCAGTGTCTATCAGACATCTTCCTCAGAGCTTCTAACCAGAGTTCTGCTTCTTGCTGCTATATAAGCTCTGAGGAAGATGTCTGATAGACACCGAAATGTAAGCAAGGTAAGAGACAATATTGGTTGTGTGAAAGAAAACCGCTGTATCCTATAGCCTGATGAAACTTTTTGGAAATCAGATTAATCGTTTTATCACTGCATCATTAATCAATGTAGATTCCACAAGAGTACTTGCTCCAGTAGTCAAGTAAGAGAGGAAGCATGGATGAAAAATGTTTTGCCAGTGGTTAAAATCTCCACATTCAATCACATCCCAGAAACAGGGACAGACAACCTTTGAATTCAAAGGATTTTTACGACCAACCCTCATCTGATAATCCTTTTATAGATTTGTCTTCTCTGCCTTTTTGACCTTGACATCAAAGTAAGATCAATGCCTGCCAATGTGACCTTTGTTGTTCTTTTTGAAATGTATTCTTTATTGTATCTACCACAGCAAATGTATTTAACAAACTTTTATCCTAATAATTCTTTTAGACATAAACTACACATGTATTTGTCCAATTGTTTTACCAGTGCAATTCAGTGCGTGGATCACACCGTTGCACTGCGACACTGTAAACTTTCTTTCAATGAGAAATAAAACCAATCACTACTACTAAATGAAGGTTAGACATCCAGGTAATTAGATACGCCAAAAAGCAGTTACTCAAGCAACTGGATATGATTTTGAAAACGTCAGACGTTTCAGCTAGTATCCACTAGCTTTCGTCAGTGACTGAGAGACCAGAGGGGAAATGCAGGTTTATAAGCACAAACTATTGATTGACATGCAAAATCACTGCTACTTTTTGTTCTTGTCCCTACAGCTATTGTGTATGAGCTTCTGTATAAGGATGTATTTAAGATGGACCATGACATCGCTGTGGTGAAAGATATGCTGGGTAACAAACAACAGAAGATCAGGAAGGACAGCACCAGCGAATGCGAGTCCTCGCCCTCCAAAAACTGCGGGTAAAAACTTTTCTTAAAAGTTCATCTTTGTTGGTAGAAAATAATCATTATGAAGCAAGTTTAAGCTGTTATTTCCAACACAACAAATTGGACTCACCCAAATTTTAGACTGTACAACTCCAGTCTTTGTCAAGGAATGAGCAACCCACCGCTTCCGTGACGTCACGCAGATAACACACGTGACTCCGTGAGCAGTGGATCATAGGTTGCAGAAAGTCTGTGGCGACCCCCGTCTCTGTTGAGGGATGGTTGTAATGCCCCGATGTAGACTTCATTTGCAAAATCATGCCCGAAGGCTAATTGCTTTAATTTACAGTCAAAGGTACTATTTGGTATAATACAAATAGGAGACAGACAACCACTCTCTGTTAAAAACTTATACTTCTACTACTACGCTAGCTATCATGAGGTTTGACTTCTTCTTTGAAGGCAGTGGATAATGAATAGTCTTTGGGTTTTGTGATCTTAGTAGAAACGTAGTCGTTTGGTGATCTTCTAAATGATGAAAAGATGGAGAAATTGTGGTAACTGTTTGAAATAATCTCTCTCTGTCGGTCTCATAGTGAGGACCACATTCTGCGTAATGAGTGGGTTTTGTGATCTTAGTAGAAACGTAGTCGTTTGGTGATCTTCTAGACGATGAAAAGATGGAGAAATTGTGGTAACTGTCTGAAATAATCTTTTTCTGTCGGTCTCATAGTGAGGACCACATCCTGCGTAATGAGTGGGTTTTGAGATCTTAGTAGAAACGCAGTCGTTTGGTGATCTTCTAAATGATGAAAAGATGGAGAAATTGTGGTAACTGTCTGAAATAATCTCTTTCTGTCGGTCTCATAGTGAGAACGTCGGCTAACAGAATGTAAATGACTGGCATGTATCACGCTTAGCCGAAATCAATTGATCCGCAGATAAGCAAGATTTACAAGGTCTGCCGTTGAGATTTTTACGATAAGAAAGCAATCCATTTGGACGGGGTGGTGTGAGAAAGGGTCACTTAACCGGGCGATAACGAGGCTGTGAAATGAGATTAGTGGCAGTCCTTCTCACAAAGGAAATGTTCTCAGTGAAAATGTCGTAGATAGACAGATGCCACAGTGACGTATATCATACACACTCACTCACTAAAGGACTGTCTCAGGTAAAGATTAAGTGTTTCTTTAGTTAGTTCAATTCCTTGCTAGATTTATTGCAACTTTTAACTCAGGTACCAATGTTGCCATAAAGTTCTCTCAAATTTGGCATAATTATCCAAAAGGCAATTCCAAAATCCAAATCCTGTATTCGAATTTTCAAAAGCAGCGCACGTGGTTAGGGCAAAATGCGTTCGAATTGTTATACGGAAGCCATGGAAGCCCTTTACGGTACGGCCCGGCACGGAACAACTTTATCGAAGACTGCCGGGAATTTTACAATTGGCAGTATATAAGTTCATGATTTAGCCTTGATGCACATTCTTCTTCCCCTCAGAAGTGACAAACCTGACAGTGAACTTGAAGGCTCGACTGAGCTGGACGTGTCGACAGAGTCTGACAAGAGCAGAGACAACATGGACAGGCCGAATGAGAAGGTGAGCATCATTAAATAGTCTGTAGTTTCCAAATGTTATGTCGGAAATGGTATATCCTCTGCAACAGGCGAAAGTCTGATGCAATGTTGACCAAACATCCACCGAAAACTGTGAAAATACAGGGTTCTGTACAGGCGCAGTACGTTCTACCGACGTGCTCTACCTACCTACCTACATGTACCTAGTCCCATGACCGACACTGGCCATTGGGGGGACAAGGCAGACTTTGCAGCAGAGGTGTTGCCAGATAGATTTTCCTGTCTTGAGCAGGAGTTGAGGGATGTCCAGAAAGCTTAATGTCAATAGTGATGACAATCTGTCCTACTGAGAAGCTTGTAGCTAGTAAAAATGCCAATAATGATACTCGTGCTGTTGTTGGAAATGATTTCTGTTCTTTATAGCATTGAGACAGTAGGCAAAGTCTGTCAAAAAGCCTTAAAGTATCAGACTAGTTCACAGAATATTGTATTCATCGATTATTTTCATCCAAGGTATTTGTTGACATGCAAAAGCACACTCAGTCTGTTGTCAAGATGTCACAGTGCTACATGTGTATATGTGTGTTTTGATTTAGGATGTATTGAATCAACTGTTTAAGAATAGATAGAATGTATGGAATGTGAATTGCAGCCTCTCTGAGTTAATTATATTGTCTTATCGGCGTCTTGTGGATTAATTTGTTTGCCAATAGAGCTCAGCTTTGAATAATTGTGAGGTTTTGCTTTTGGCTAAATTTAACAATGCCTTACTGCAGCTTTCACGTTCAAATGCTAGGTAGAGGAAGTACTTACCATTGAATAATCTATCCAGGAAAGGAATCGGCTCCCCAGGGAAAGAGAAATATCTGAGGAGAAGTGTGTTTCATTGATTATCCTTGGGAGATGTAGCTTACATCTCAAGTGTATCATATAGATTGGCACAGGCTCCCTGAACCGATGTCAGACACTTAGCGTTGCTTTTTTTATCATTCAAAGTAATGGACAATTGATGTGAGAATAGTGATTGGAAAGTTTATTGCAAATACATGCCCGAGGGCTAATTGCAGTTACAAACAACATAAGAAAGAAAATACAATGGTATGTGAGACTATATCTACGTCCGTAACATTATACTATATTCTACAATATACATGGTACAAGCTATATAATAGTTTTACTGGGTTTGACTTCTTCTTTTTAGGTAATGGAAGACGAATTTACCCACTTCAATAGTATAATTCGTTTGATTTTGTTGGGGTTTAAATGTGTACAATTGCTCACATAAAATCCTTCAAAGGAACATCATTGTATCAAGAAGAGGACAAACTCTAGGTATATCGACAGTGGACCTCGCATATTCTATTGATTTGCAGGGATGTGACTGATATTGTACTAGACAAGAGTTTTTACATGTGGCATTTATTACCCGAGTCTCCCCTATATGAGATAACAGCATGTGATGGCTGGAGATTTGTCTGTTATGTATTGAGCTATTCCGGACATGGTATAGCAGATCAGAGGGCGTTGGAAAAATCGTTACACTTTGCATTAATGTGTTAAGGTTGTACTGCACTGCAAACTGTGCATGAAGATGTTGGCAAAATGAATAGCTTACAAACTTTCTCTACCTGATACTTGACAATTTCATGAAGTGCCTCACCTGTAGGTCATTGGAAAAATCGTTAACGTTTTACATTAATGTGTTAAGGTTGTACTGCGCTGCAAACTGTGCATAAAGATGTTGGCAAAATGAATAGCTTAGTACCAAACTTCTTCAGAAGGCTACCTGATAACTTGCTATTTCATGAAGTGCCTCACCTGTAGCTAGGGCATTGGAAAAATCGTTACATTTTTACATTAATGTGTTAAGGTGGTACTGCGCTGCAAACTGTGCATAAAGATGTTGGCAAAATGAATAGCTTAATACACAACTTCTTCAGAAGGCTACCTGATAACTTGCTATTTCATGAAGTGCCTCACCTGTATAGGGCGTTGGAAAAATCGTTACAGTTTACATTTAATGTGTTAAGGTTGTACTGCACTGCAAACTGTGCATAAAGATGTTGGCAAAATGAATTATAGCTTACACAACTTTCAGCTACCTGATACCTGGCTATTTCAGGTGCTCCATTTATAAAGACTCGGTAGATGTAAGCTTCCCGTTCTTATTCCACGTAGGAAGAAAAAAAGACTAAATCGCCTGCTTTGAAGGCATCGATCATTGATAATGCTCCCTACACTTTCCCTGGAAGCTCCCAGATCAGATAGCTTAGAAAGGGAATGCCTCTATTCACAGGTTTACTGTACACCGCCCGGTGCGGCGCTATTGACTAATGTTATCGCCCCGTGTGCAGACCGAAGTGATACATGTCTGTTATCTGTGCGAGACCCGGCAGTGCATCACGGCAGCCCTCCCCATTGGCTGGGTGATGGCTGACTGCTGCAGCAGTGACCTCTTCTTGCACGCCCGTATTTCTGCTGTTTCCCTGTTGGGCCATGTCGATTCGATTATATGGATGACATTTGCGCATGCATGAATTTTCATCTGTTTCCAAAAAAATAAGTTTTTAACCATACTGTAAATCATACAAAACAGCAAATATATACTGTAAGTTTTGGTAAAACTTGGTTATGTAAAAAAAGAGTCTCTTTACTCAAACAAAGGTACAGGTATGAAAATATATTCAACGGCAAAAGAATACAGCCAGAAAAATGATTTACATGGAATATGACTTGTGAGCTTTTTGTGTTACATTTGCAAGGTCCTAGTGTTGGCATAACTATATTGATTACAGTCTACCCTGTTTATCCCATAGGCTACACAAGCAAACGGTGCTGTAGATTATAGTAAGAAGGACGGACGAAGGTTCCCCCTCCCCTTCAAGGTGGCCAAAGCCCTGGATCCGGAATTCTACCGTAATGTGGAATATGACGTGTGGATGGACTCCAAGAAAGGTGAGGATTCATTTTGCTTTTCCAGTGATAAAACAGATGATGCCTTAAAGGTATCCAGTTTTTAGGGCTTGGAAACCTGATTTTTCAAAGCCAATATCTCACTCGGCTTTATTCAGTAGCAACTGACAAGGCTTTGTCACACCTTATTCACTTCGGGGCGGGTCATTAACCCTTAATTATACCAGTTTTGCTGCCCTGAAATCGCATTGGATGCCTTTAATGACTTAGTGTCTAGATACTAGCATGCTATGATCTATGCTATGATCTTCATACAATGGAAAATAAATGATAGAAGTCTTGTATTATGTTGATTACTTGGCTGACCTGAACTTTCGGTTTTATTTTGCATGTGATATTTTCCATATTCTCTGTCATAAGCATATTTTCAGCAGGCGTATGGTAGTGACAAGTGGAGGCATCCAAATTGCTTATCACATACTGAGATCAAACCCATGACAAAAGAGTCTTCCATATTCATCTAATTTCTGTTAAACTTGTGTGTGCAGTTCCAATTAATCATGAACTGGAATCAAAGAATTGTAGATGAAAAATTTCATATCATTTGACAGTATGGTACATCTCACTACATCAAGTTAACAGTAGACTGCCTTTGTAAGCACGTCGACAGAACGTACTGCGCTAAATCCTTAATGTATTGTACGTAGCACTTCGACAAAGCTCCTCATATAAGGTCGTATTCGTGCATACAGTATAAGGTTTACATCCCATCTGTAGTTTCTAGATGTTATGTTGGAAGAGACATCATCTGCAACAGGCAAAATTCTGATGCAACAGTGACCAAAAATCCAACAAAAACAGAAAAAAAATCTGGGTTTTGCTCAAGCGCAGTACGTTCTGCCGACGTGCTGCATTTGTAGACTACAGGAGAGCAGTTGTCTAGTGTCAGTTGCCCAAGCCTGGGGCATCTTTGGTGTGATCTATCAGTTTTCTCCAGCAGGCCTCACCTTTCAATGTAGTTTTAAAACAAAGGTTGATGAGGTCCATTGCAGTGGGTCATTTATCGACTGACCTTATAACAGCAAAGTCTTTTCCTCGAGCAGCTTTACCGTATGCATCATAATTGACCCCTGTGGCATTCATGGTTCCTATAACTCAGGTCCATTTGGCCCAGTTCAGCAGGTATATCTGTGCATCACACCTGTGTCTCCAATGCGATCTTCATTAGCCATCTTGATAGATGGGAACGATAACCTGTCAGTACTTATTGACAGCCCTCCGCCCACCAAATGACCTAATCACCAATCACCTATGACAGAATGGCTGACGCAGCACTACTGTTACTAACAGTAGCTTCCATCAGCATTAGAAAGGCAACAAAACATTGTTTTTCTGGTGGACGAAATTTACCAGTAACAAATAAACTTTAGTACCTGCCACTTCCTACCATAACGGCTAGCTTGTAAAAGATTTTACTCCGCCCACCAAATGACCTAATCGCCAATCACCTATGACAGAATGGCTGACGTAGCACTACTGTTACTAACAGTAGCTTCCATCAGCATTAGATTCAGGCAACAAAACATTGTTTTTCCGGACCGGGTGGAGAAATTCACTGTAACAGTTATACTGCGCTTCCTCATAACGGCTAGCTTGTAAAAGATTTTACTCCGCATACCAAATCACCAATCACCTATGACAGAACGGCTGACGTAGCACTAACTGTTACTAACAGTAGCCTCCATCAGCATTAGACTCAGGCAACAAAACATTTTTTTTCCGGTGGAGAAATTTACAGTATAACAAATATGCTGTGCTTCCTCATAACGAAGAGCTTGTAAAAGATTTTACTCCGTCCACCAAATGACCTAATCACCAATCACCTATGACAGAATGGCTGATGTAGCACTACAGTAACTGTAGCCTCCATCAGCATTAGAGTCAGGCAACAAAACATTGTTTTTCCGGTGGAGAAATTTACAGTAACAAATATAAGTGCGCTTCCTCATAACGGCTAGCTTGTAAAAGATTTTACTCCGCCCACCAAATGACCTAATCACCAATCACCTATGACAGAATGGCTGACGTAGCACTACTGCTACTAACAGTAGCCTCCATCAGCATTAGATTCAGGCAACAAAACATTGTTTTTCCGGTAGAGAAATTTACTGTAACAGATATACTGCGCTTCCTCATAACGGCTAGCTTGTAAAAGATTTTACTCCGCCCACCAAATGAGCTACTCACCAATCACCTATGACAGAATGGCTGACGTAGCACTACTGTTACTAACAGTAGCTTCCATCAGCGTTAGAGAGGCAACAAAACATTGTTTTTCCGGTGGAGAAATTTACTGTTAGTAGTAACAGATATACTGCGCTTCCTCTCATAACGGCTAGCTTGTAAAAGATTTTACTAGCGATTGAGCATGATGTCGGGGTTCGGGCGGTCGCCAATTCCATCTGGTTTTATTGATTGCGGTGCTGCTTTTACAGTTTAGTTACTGAGGTGTGAATTTCTGCCTGTTCTCATAATGGATTTTACCCGTTTTTAAAAAATAAGTTTCTCTTATGAAACTGGGACTTGTACGATACATTTGTCTTACACAAAGTATGTTAGAAAGAATCGCTAGAGGTTTGGGAGATGAATGTTTATTTGGTGCTAAGTGCTTTTCGGATTAGGCCTTTAGTTTTGCATGTCCGTGGGTGGATATCAATGAGTTATGACTATCCGCTGAGGAAGTTATCAGGCTTAAGATTTTCCCATGACAGCTAGCGTTACGAGAGGAGGGTTGTATTGTCTTATACTGCACGGTGAGGTAATATGTGGTGAATCACTGCAGGGATTACACATGGTTTTTATGCCCGTCCCTGTCGGTGTTTTTTTCTTCCAGAACAACAGCGTCAGGACATGCACCTGGCCACCATGATGCAGTATGCACCCGGAGACAAGTGTCAGGTCAGTCTGGGGAAGGAGTGGGGGGGGGGGTGCATTGTTGTCAACAATGAGGTATTCAAAAACTCGTATTTCCCCAGAACTATCGTAGACTGGAACCCGTTGCCATCAAGCACAGTTGGGGCATCATCACTAGAAAGCTTTAAACAACTCCTGCAATCAAATGTGCAAAGATTGAGTGTAACAAGCCGATCGGTGTAATGTAGCCAGCTGCCGCCACGCTGCGTGCCTGCGAAGCTGGTGTGTTACGCCGAAGGGCGGTTATACCGGCTATACCGATACAGAAGCTGGTGTGTTACGCCCAAGGGCGGTTATACCGATACAGATAGATACAGATGTTGATCCAGTGGTAGAAATACTTTTTTTCAGTGTTCTGTAATATTGCAGAATGTTAAAATTTTTTTCAATTTGGAAATACCTTCAGCAAATCCATACTTACAAGTCCGGATCTAAACCCATGGCGTATACAAAATACAAAATTGCATGTTGGCATATAGTTTGCATGCAATTGGAAAAAGAGATGCAAAATTACTTTTAAAAAAATAGGGTCAGTAGTAAAGCTCTTAAACACCATTGAATCCTTGGCCTGATTTTTTTTAAGTCTGCAAAATTGCAGGACCTGGTTGTTTCATTTTTGTTCTGCAATATTGAAAATGTCTCTGCTAAATCCAGACTGCAGATGGGTATTTCTAACACTGTAATCTGTTCAGTGCCTAAATTCTCCTGGCCGGTTCAAGTCATACTAACAGTGACAGTGCAGTTAAGGACTTGATACACATGACTGTAGTTCTTAGGCTTTGAGATGTCAATACAGACCTTTTATGTCAGTTCACTTATCTCATTTTTTCATTAGTTTCCTTTGAATGCAATGTTTGACAAAGCCTTTAAGACTGTTGCCAATGTCTTTCCCCTTTGTTGGTGCTGGATTTTCCCCCCAAGGTCCGACTTGAAGGGAACGTGAAGTACTACATGGCACATGTGCAGGAGGTGCAGGCGGAGAGCGGGCCTGTTACTGTCTTCATAGAGGAACTTGGAGAGAAGTGCGTACCATTTATCTTTTGATATCGAATATGACAGAGTAAGGAAATATGTTGTCAATGTTCATTATGCTGTGTGCTTACAGAATTTACTTGACTGTGTTGATAAAAGAAAATATTTAATTTATTGTTTTTCCAGGCATACTGTCCCAGTGAAAAATCTAAAGCCCATTACTCAGGTGCCTCCTGGTGAGTAAAAAAAATTTCTTCTCCATGTGAAAATTTCATATTTAGTGATTTTCTCCTAGCGAAACATGTCATGGGAAAGTTATAATACCTAGAATGCTCATATTGTTCTGTCTACTAGTAATCTAGCCCCATTTCTACATCTAACAATTATAGTAATACCATAATTATCAACACTTGTGGAAGGTACACAGCTCGTTGTAGTAATAAACTCTTACAATTGTGGTTACCATTGATAGTTCCATTGAGAAAATCCATCATTATATATATGTTACATGGCATGAATGATGATTAACTGTCTTGTTGTGTGGCAGTACCAACTGTGCCCATGCCTTGGACTGCTGTGCCAGCCAAGGGGTACAAGAACCTGACTGGGTATTATCAGAAGGGTGCCATAGTGCCACAGGAGATAGGTAAGGTATAGGCAAGAACATTGTTAACCCTTGTCCTACGGAGCCTATCTTATAGTTGCACATATGACCATCTATATTGTGCCATGTACAAGACGTTAGTGTATTATGTACAATTTGGGGGTATTTCTTGTGCAACGCATCACGAATGCGGAAGTAACTACGGCACCGCAGAGGAAAAAAAGTTGGGGTATATGACCTGATTAAGATATCAAATTATTTGAAAATGTTGTGTAAAAAATGCCAGGGTTAAGGACAAGGGTTAAGATGTTGCTATTAGTAAAAGAAATTGTTCATTCATAAGATGTACAATTTGCATGCATATAGTATCACTTAATATTCATGTGCATTACCTTTGCCATGTTTTGAAAGCTAAACAATTTTATTCATGGATTTACTTAATAATGAATCTTGAAATATGTTTTTTTTATGATACCCGAATTTACACTGTCATAATTCACAAGCGTGTACTGCATATATTATGCAAAAGACAGATGCGTTGATAAGATACATAAATATGTGTACAGTTGATTTTATTAAAAGTGTTATTGTGTGTACTGTGAATGATTCACTGTCCTCTAAGCCAGCCCCTTGCCCCCCCCCCCCAGCAATGATCCCTTCCATTCTAACCCACAGCATGTTGGCATGTAAATGTACATTTGAGCAGGGCTCGAAATACTGGGTGCATGTGCACCTTAGAGCACCCAAATTTAGAGCTGTGCACCCAATGCTTTTGTGTGGTTGCACCTGTGCACCCATATATTTTTGTAGTTTACTGTACATAAAAAACTATGTAAAAATGTCAAATGTACAATGTATAGTGGTATACAGCATATTCTTAACATCCAAGTGTCAGAAAAATAATAAAATCATTGTTGTAGTACTTTTCTTTAGAAATGAAACAAAATTAGTTTTTGATGACATTCTACTTATTTTTTTAAAGTTTTTTGTGCACCTAATTTCTTACGTTGGGTGCACCATTGCAGCTATTTCCAAAAATGAATTTCGAGCCCTGTTTGCATGAATTATCTGTTCTGCACTGTTATTGATTTGGTAGATGCAATGTTTCAACTGATGTGAATGCTCCACTGGGCTGTAATTCTGTCAACTCATTTATAGCACCTGCAGTAGTATTACATGTAGAACCCTTAAACTTATCCCACTAGAGTAGATATCCCAAAGGATAGAATTATTATTGTTGCACCATAAAGGCTTCATTTGCATGAGTAGACTCAACTGCGGGGCCTGTTTTTATCTATACCACAAACACTAAAAAGTAGACTTTGCACGAGGTGATTTCTCTTTCTACTGTAATCCGTAATGCTTGATGCTGATGATTGTGTAGTCAACTCCAGGGCATGTTTATAGTACCTATACCGCAAACACAAGTAGATTTTGCGCTACTAGGTGATTCGGTTTTTCTTCATTTAATCCTTGCTTGTTGCCGATGATTGCGTAGTGTGTAGATGACTGTGCCTGTTTATTTATATATTTTGTACCACAAACACAAGTAGACTTTGCACTGCAGATGATTCTCTTTCTTCAGTAATCCTTGCTTGATGACGATGATTGTATTACGTAGTGTGTAGATAACCATGCTTGGTGCCCGTGATTGCATTACGTAGTGAGTAGATAACCGTGCTTGGCTGTGCATGCCCTCCTCTGTCCACTAACCCTGACCCAACACCCAGTGCGTTCTTCTCTCAGCAGCTTGTTTCTCTCCCCCCTGGCACCCATTTGCAGAAGACCCTCGCAACAAGAGGAAGAACAGGAGGAAGGGCAGGGTAAGATTTGTTTTGTTTGTTTTGTCTGCGTCTTTATTTATACTCAATAATATTATATATATGTCACCCCATTCGGCCATGTCTGCCGCTTTTTGTGGGGGTCGAGTTGGGGGAGAGTCCAGGGGTCAAAATGATGATAGTATAATAATAATAATAATAGTACAAACGTTTGTCAAATTAACAAAAACTATAAAACAAAGCATAAATAAATGAATATACAAATAGATAAATAACAAAAACAGGTCATAACGTCATCAGGTCCATAATAGTTCCGTAAAGGTCAGTCACAGAAGCCGTTTGAAAATTGTGAGAGAAGGTGCTGCTCTGACATCTTGTGGTAAGATAGAGTCCTTCGTCATTAATTTCGTTTTAATCAATATGAGTTTTCTGCCTCCTATACTTTGATGTGATGTAGTGTTAGCAGAAAATCAATGCAGACATGATAACTGTTTTCCAGCTACATGTATCATAATCTGTCAGAGTTCTGTACAGGATGGCAGATCTGGCCCCTGGGATTTTTCTAATAATTCAAAATGTTTCACTCAGTCATATTACTTATACATGTAATAGATTTCTAGCTCAAAGCTGAGTCCTTTCTCTGCTTAATAAACTTTATATCAACCCCATAAGGTAAGAAAGGCAAAAAAGGTGTAAACTTGCTAGATAATTTGTATGATATTAATGTATACATAATGTAAATTAATAACAATAATAATATCAATTTTCTGAGCCGATTTTGAATGACTAATACATAGTATGGTGTCAAATTCTTATCCTTGTTCCTCTATCCACGTGACAAGTGAACTCCAAGACGAGATCTTAATTGGGTTGATGAAGAGACAGAGTACATCTCGAAAGCTCCCCAGCATAGCTGAACTTTTGTTGTGTGTATATGTATAAATATTTTGTCAAAAACTTATCCTTGTTGCGTAGGAAAATGGCATCCCACCGTTCATGGTACAGCGTGTTCAGCCATCGCTGCCTCCGCACGTTAAGTACATGTAAAGGAGTGTGCAATTCAGCTGGCAGACTGTGAAATACTTGTTTTACTGCTACAAAATTAATAAACCATTCATTCATGAATATGATGTCAAAATTCACCCTTTGTTGTTAGGAAAATGGCATCCCGCCATTCATGGTGCAGCGTGTTCAGCCATCGCTGCCTCCACGGCTCCAGCACGAAGGGCAGTACAGTCCCAAGTACCACCACCACGGGCGTGAGTACCAGGGTCGGGACTACCAGGGCAGGGACTACCAGTCCAGGGAGTACCAGGGGAGGGAGTACCAAGGGAGGGACAGGGACTACCAGCCAAGGGACAGGGACAGGGAGTTCCAGAGACCTCCGCATGGACAGAGATACAATGGACAGGCCAGGTAAGGTGGCACGAAATTTGTTCTTTATAAACTTTATTTATTCATTGTGAAAGTGGCTGCGAGAATATAAGTTGTGCCTTACTTGAGTTTGCAGTCACTGTGTCCTTTCATTTGTATTTACTGTTGTTCTGAATTTAAAAAAATATTGTTTGCAGAATATTCCCCTCCCTGAAAAATAAGATGTATGCAGTCCATACATTATCAATTAAAATGTGGCTGTGCTCTAAAATCGTCCAAGCAGACTTAGGAAAAGAAGAAAGGACTTTTAGGTAAATAAATGCACTCGGTTTCTGTGCCCTGGCATAGCTAATGGAAGCTCCAATATTCTCGGTTTTGGAACAAAAGAGCTCTGACATTTTGGTTCAGATTATGTCCTTGGCGCTGAATGACCCTCACACATAGCTGTCCTTGGTGCTGAATGACCCTCACACATAGCTGTCCTTGGTGCTGAAATGACCCTCACACATAGCTGTCCTTGGTGCTGAATGACCCTCACTCATAGCTGTCCTTGGTGCTGAATGACCCTCACATATAGCTGTCCTTGGTGCTGAATAACCTCACACAGCTGTCCTTGGTGCTGAATGACCCTCATACATAGCTGTCCTTGGTGCTGAATGACCCTCACACATAGCTGTCCTTGGTGCTGAATGACACACACACATAGCTGTCCTTGGTGCTGAATGACCCTCACACATAGCTGTCCTTGGTGCTGAATGACCCCCACACATAGCTGTCCTTTGTGCTGAATGACCCTCACACATAGCTGTCCTTGGTGCTGAATGACCCTCACACACAGCTGTCCTTTGTGCTGGAGGCCCTCACACATAGCTGTCCTTGGTGCTGAATGACCCTCGTACATAGCTGTCCCTGGTGCTGAATGACCGTCACATATAGCCGTCCTTGGTGCTGAATGACCCTCACACATAGCTGCTCTTGGTGCTGAATGACCCTCACACATAGCTGTCCTTGGTGCTGGATTACCCTCACACATAGCTGTCCTTGGTGCTGGATGACCCTCACACATAGCTGTCCTTGGTGCTGAATGACTCTCACACATAGCTGTCCTTGGTGCTCAATGACCCTCACACATAGCTGTCCTTGGTGCTGAATGACCCTCACACATAGCTGTTCTTGGTGCTGAATGACTCTCACATATAGCTGTCCTTGATGCTGGATGACCCT